TCCTTGTTTTACTGTACACAAAGTCAATATTTTCTACAAATCTCTCACCGTATTTGTGGACCAAAATAAATAAAACTGACAATGAATAGATGAAGGGCTCTCCCCCCCATTTCTTTTATAATCCTATTTACTTAAATTAAGGTCTTCTCTTTTTTCTTTTTTTAAAGGTAATCATTAGATTGTGTTCTCCTTCAGTTAATGATGAATTTACTTAAATTTTAGTAATGTAAGCTCTCATATCTCTCCTTGTTTTACTGTACACAAAGTCAATATTTTCAATAAATGTTTGCTATTAATAAAAACAATCACTACTTTAAGCTCAGAAATATCTTGAATCAAGAATGACTAACTTATAAAAATAACCATAATTTTCCACTGCAGATACTATCTTCTAGCAGAAATTATCTCTAAATTTCAACTGTAAAATACAGAGTTTTGAAATATCACTGATGTAATTTTTGAAATGCCTTAAGTAAAATTAGAACACATAAAACCAGTAGTGGTTAATTTTTTTGGTATGTTTTAAGAAAATGTTTTCCAAACCATAGCTTGGAAATACACGATGGACAAAATATATTTCCAAGGAAAATGTTTCATTAGGAGAAGGATTAAGAATATTGTCATCCCTTGGTATTTGCGGGGGATTGGTTCTAGCACTTTCCTCCCACAAACACCAAAATCTGCAGATGCTCAAATCCCTGAATATAAAATGGCATAGTATTTGCATATAACCTATCACATTCTCCTATATAATTTAAATCGCCTCTAGATTACCTAAAATACCTAAGATAATGTAAATGCTATGTAAATAGCTGTTACATTTTTTAGGGAATAATAAGAAAAAGGTCTGTAAATGTTCAGTACAGACATAATTTTTTTTGGAATATCTGATCTGAGGTTGGTTGAATCCACAAATGCAGAACCCATGGATATGGAGGGCTGACTGTACTAATGATTCTGCAAATACAGCATTTCATTTGCTATCAAATACCCAAATAGATATATGAAGCTTGGAAAACTGTAGCAGTAACATTTAAAATCATTATGTACAATCTCCATGCTTTTGGAAACTATGAATTCTTAGCTTGATTGGATTACAAAGTGTATAAGTATTTACTTTTTTTTTTTTTTTTTTTTTAAAGAGACAGGGTCTCGCTCACCCAAGCTGGAATGCAGTGGCGTGAACATTGCAGCTCAAACTCCTGGTTTCAAGCAACCCCCCTACCTCTGCCTCCAAAAGTTCCAGGATTACAGGTGTGAGCCACAGCGCCCAGCCAGAAAATATTTATTCTGAGTGAATTAATTTTTAAATGTTTTCTGTATTTGGAAATTCAAAATAGATGAGCTATTATGAAATTAATGTCAATATGACCTTATTTCAACATTACTATTATTCTTCATAAATGACACTCCAAAGTATAACTGAACATTTCATGAGCAACT